TCTCTAAATTAGCTGAATTAGTTCTATAGTTTAACTTAAGTGGGAAGTGGCTAGACTTTGCTTGGAGCAGGTCTAGAAGGGAGAAGTAAGGCATCTCCTTCCCTCCACTAGCCTGGGTGTACACCTTGGGCAAGTGTTAGCACACCCTAAGCCTCCCTGGTTGGGTTACTACTTATCAAAGCAGAGCTTTAGTCAAACAATTGGCAGTTTTCAGTCTGGAGCTCATTCAAAACCGACTGGCAGTGCAATGATGCCACTGAAACAATATTATGAGCTATAGATATAATAATGATTATTTAAGACAATTATATTCAGTTATGAAATATCTCTACAGAAACCTAAGGTTCATTCTTAATGTTTTAGTTCATCTTTGTAAAATTAGAAAAATAAAGGACAAAAACAATCTTTTTACTGTGATAGTTTAACCATCTTTTATTGATATCTGTCTTTTTGAATCTCTTTTTTATAATTCTGAAGTTTGTTAGTGTCATAGTTCTAAGTAGAGGCAATCATAAAATCATAATAAAGAACAGCACAAAATATTGCGATTTGATAATACTAAAGCGTGCGCATTCATTCTTTTCTTTCTCTCAAGCAATAGTTGGGTAGCCTATGGTCAGCATTTGATGTGGTCTGACACATTTTCCCAGCTAGTATAAAACTCAAGAATATTTTCCCAGCTAGGATGACATTTGGGATATTTTCCCTGTCGGAATAAATTTAATTATTTTTTCAAATTTCGTTTTCTTTTTGAATGGAAGCGAGAATATCCTCTCTAGGTCCAAGATTCCTCGAGTACAGCCCCCTTAACTAAAAGGTCTTATTTATGTTGGCTGCCATAATGGATTTTATATTGTAATTCAAGTTATATCCATTAGTTTAATAACAAAAGACTTCGATGATGTTGAAATAATATGTGAGTAAAGTTAACTGGGTACTCCCCCGAAACTTGTGTGGGGGTGTGCCGCTGGGACCTCAAAACCCTGACCCTGTTCCAGAGTAAAATCCTGCACTAGCTTGTGTGTAGACCGAATTTTTACCCCATGAATTTTTATCCAGCATCAATAATTCCGGAATTCAACCCTGACCCTGTTCCAGAGAAAATTCGTTGAAATCGATACCCTGTTCCAGAGTAAAATCGCTGAAAACGATACCCTAGCTTGCGGCACGTCACCGTATAGCGAATATAGGGGAGTACCCCCCCGGGTGGCTGTGTTATTACATGACCTGCTCAAACGTATTATAGATGTACGAATATCGTTGATGAATGTTATATGCTACTTGCACTTTTTAGTCGGACTAGCCAAAGGCGGTCCGACTTTAAATTTACCTTTTAGCCTATCAATCTATCTACCTATCTATGTGTCATGTCGCGTTTGGACCACCGGAAGTTAAGAATTTAACTAGACGCTCTTGGAGCGTGAAGTCGGGCTAGCTATTTTGGAAAATTGAGAAATTACTNCTTTAAGATTCGACCGTTAAACCGATGGATGGAAACGGATTGCAAATGGATATTCGAAGTCACCTCATTTTCCATWTATGAAAAATCTAAAACACGACCGCATTGCATGCTAGTGGACMATGTCCCTTTAATTCGAATGAAAGAATATCGCACAAATAAGTTGTCGGATGCACGTGCCCCTTCAAGTGAGTAACGATATGGAATAGGTTTTTCACATTGTATTAATACTTAGTATCCTGATTTTCTTTCTTTCTTTTTTGTTTTGAAGCGTAGGCATTAGAACGTATTCGCGTAACCCACTTTTTAAATGCTAATGAGTTTGCTAATATTCTAATGAGATTGGCACAAGAAACAAAAGAGCAAAAACATGCTAGAGTGATTTCAGTAGCGAATATTATTTCAAAACTATTTTGAGCTCAGTTCAAGCAAAACTTCAAAAGGAAACATTTTTATTTAAGCTATACAGCTATCTCAACTTCTCGTAAACTACAAGTGCAAGTAATTAGATTAGACACGGCAAAACATCGACGTCTGAAACGGACCTCATTGTCCAGAATTGGTTTTGATTCTAGTATCGACGGGTTGTGGAAGTCTGCAATGCTTGTTTTTTAATTCTTCCCATTCGCCCAATTTATTTAAAAAAAATTAAATCAACATTATGAACCCCTTAAAACAAACGATCTGTTGGCATTCAAAATAAGGAATTTTCAATCTTGTAGCCAATAACTGTTGAAATTGGTTAACTTTAATAATAAAAATGTTTCCGTTTGAAATTGTGTACTTATTGAACTGAGCTCAAAATAGTAATATTTTAAAATCACTCAAGCATGTTTTTGCTCTTTTGTTTCTTATGCCAATCTCATTRGAATATTAGCAAAACTCATTAGCATTTAAAAAGTGGGTTATGCGAACACGTTCTATTGATTGACAGAGTGTAAGAATTTAATTTTATGCGATGCGTGTTTTTCAGTATACAGTATTTGAGTTTGATTCCCCATAATGCCGACCACGAGCTGAGATTCCATTCGTTCTGAGTTTGTTCTGCTCTTGATGACCAGTATTCCTCAATAGGACATTTACGACAAAATGGGCGTCATCCACAGCAACTACTAGACTGCGTAGAGGCTTTCCCCCTTTCCCCTAGAGCTGCCACGCAGTCTACAGCAACTACCAGAATGTTTTGCTAATTTGTTGTGACTAGAAATGAAATCATATGGTCCGAACCGTGGTAAATTAGAGTGTAGTGTTGGCGATCCATTTATTAACAATGGCTTCGATTGTTTTAGTTTCAATGCGGCGATTACAATTCACTTACAAAATTTAATCAGTTCTATTTCTTTTACTTTTGTCCACAAATTTAAACACGTAATGAGAACAGAACTAGAATATACACCCTTTTAATAAGTCCCGAGGTATTACGTTCTCCGCACTTGACGTCAAATTTATTCTTTTGAATTTCTTTTGTATTATAAAAATTTCAAAAGAATAAATTTGACGTCAAGTGCGGA